CAGACATACAGGTACCTATTGGATTTGCTGCCTTTTCAAACTTGTTGTATTCCAGATTGTACTTTCAGCACTTCAATCTTCCATACAACCTGACAGTGACATTTTGAACCCAACTAAAATCAGCAACATTCAGAACAAACAACATGTACCAAATAGACTTATTTTAACTGCTGAAAAAACCACTTTTACCTTTTAGGAGTCAGCCTTGAAAGACCCGAACATGCAAATCCGAAAGGAAGATACTGGATCAAGATAGATGGAACTGACATCAAACCGGCTCTACAGGAGTCTATGAAAGGACAGTGGAACGGGGACATCGATCTGAGGGATGGGAAGCTGGCTGAACTAAGGAAGGAGTGTGACCAGCGACTTGAACTGGTAAACAACCTAGAAGTCAACAAGGAAAGGGCCACTCTAGAAGAAAAAATCAAAACTCTGGTCAACACCTTCCATGATGATAGCCACTTCCTCCAACAGGCCTTAACAGAAGCCGTCAATCTCTACACACAAAAAATGCAGGTCCCAACAACACCCCAAGAAAAACTAAAAGAACTGAACTGGGATGTAGTTGAAACCAGCCACCTGCTGGAGCAATCACAAGAATTTGCAAGGGCATATGATGACACCTTGGCTTTCCTGAACCCATCCAACACCAACGTACACGAAGTCATCTCAATACACAAAAGGAACAAAGCAGCCATTCAAACATATAGTTCTAATTATCAAGAAAAACGACAACCCGCAGCCACACATGTACTTGTTGTAATGCTCTCAGACGAGGAGAGAAAGAACAAACCTTACGCATTACCAGTGCAATACATCCCCTACAACAGCCTGAGGGATCAATACATCAGGGACCTGACAAAGACCCTGAAGGAGAGGATGAACTTCTATGGGCTCACTGCTGTTGGTAAGTGTTTCATTGTTTCATATTACTACATGTTATTGACTGTTAGTTTGATGTCCAATAAGGTTTAGACAATAAAAAAGTTGTGATCATATGCCTTGGAAGATTTTAGCCTTTTAGTCCATTTATTATGAACCTTATGTTGACACTCTTTAGGGACAGCTTTTAACTAATCTTTATATCATGTGTTCTGCCAATTAGGAACTGTCACTGATGGGGAGTTCAGTACACTTAGGACACGAGGCGAAACCAGACCACTCCATCTCTGGCAAGTCATACATGACGCCAGAGAAAGTGTGTCGAAGATGAGTAAGACTACATTGAAGAGGATGATGCAGATTGATGGTAAGTTAACAACAAACTTTCATCTCTTGATGCCCTGTTAAAATTCAGTATGTTCCAAATAGAAACACATCAAACATTGGAAGATTATCCAGCAGAAACCCAGTAATTGAAGTTAGAACGCTATGTGCTAAAATTTCAATGTCCTAAACAAAGGTATTATGTACCAAATTAAGTTGGTGCTGATCTTCCTTTTTTCTTGACATAGGCAATGTCAACAATGATGAAGCAAGGCGCACGTGTGTCCCGGAGGATGTAAGACAAAAGCTCCACTTGCTTCAAGCTAGAGGAGGATGGCTTGTCTTTTGAAGATGCCCTGCACCACATCCGTAAAGACCTCATCCCGGATGGCTACACCTACCACCCGTGGCGGGCCCATGTCCCAGAGACGGAGCTGGACATGCTCCGATCTATCCTAGCAACTTACAAGTTCCGCGAGAGGGTAGAGGAGCTGAAAGGAGAGGGGGCGGACTTCAGTAAGTATCTCTACGTGCCAGAAGTGGACCCCATCACCCTTAAGGAGCACCATGAGAGGGAGGACCACAACCACATCATAACATGCCCTCCCCACAATGCATTTGTAGTTCCGGTCAGTAGAAGATATATACGGTTGACCGGATGTACCATTTCAGTTTGAAATCATGGCGGCACTAGAGGTGGACAGGAGCGCGATAGCTCCTGCCTTTTCCTCTTGCAATATAGTGAGTTTATATTGCATCGAGAAACCATTGTATCTGAACTGGGAAAGTGTTGATATTGTGTCAGTTAATCTGAGACATTGCCACATTTCTTTGGCCTCCTCGATGCGACAGAGACACTATGCACTCATATCGGCAACAGTGGGGCAATGGACACCAGAATTTTCCCGCTGCTATAACATAACCTAACCCTCCTTGTCTAACTAGTAAAATTGCTTCAGTCTTCCAGACTGCGCATTTACAGTAAGATAAAAAAAGTCTAAGGAGTACTACTACTATAGTCCTACTTGCCAGGCTTTTTCTATAGATTTATTTCTTGTCTGATTGCCTGATATGTAATAAAACAGTTGAATTAGTCGACAAACGGTTTGTTTTTCTGCTTTCTTTTCCTGCTCCGCAAGCTTGATAAACTGTAGCTTACGTTTTTTTTTTTATCGCACTGAAATAGATCAAGAAACTACACGGATATAGCCATAAATGCATTGTTCAAAATATAGCCATAAATGTATTATATAGTAAAGACAGCGGCCCGGAGGTGGATAGAGTAGTTAGAGAGCTGCGAGAAGATAAAGCTAGAGTAGATACAAGTAAGGTACAAACGAGAGAATCTGACAAAAACGTGGTAGAAGGAGCAGTACATAGTAATAGAGCAACAGTAAAATTAGATGCTTAAGTACGTGTTGCAGGAGAGAGTCTCAGGGATAGAGCTAAAGGCTCTTCTGATCATGTTGTCATCGCCTTCGACGGAGTGGATATTTCCTGTTTACTAAACACAGGATTGCAGGTCACCAACATTCCAGAATTTATATACCGCAAACATTTCGGGGACGATAGTCCGACCCCCCCAAAACGCCGATTCATGGATTAAACTAACTGCCGCAAATGGCGAAAGCATACCTTTGGTTGGATACTTGGAAATGGACGTTAAGGTTTTTGATAAGACTTGCCGGTGAGGGGGGTTATCATAACAAAGGACCAGGGAAAGTCAGTGCCAGCAATAGTGGGCATGAACGTGATCGGGCCATGTAGAGACGCATTGTTTAAGGAATTCGGGAGGGGATATTCGGATAAGATAGAGACAGGGTCAGGCAGACAATGGCAAAGAGTTCTTTAGGCCCATGAAATTCCCCCAATAAATAATGTTCTGAAGTTATACTGACTACAAATATGCGGAAACGTTAAACATAAACATACAGACACGCCAAAAACAATACTTCCATTTTTCATAGAGGTAAAAAAACAAGCAGTGAAAATCGAATCCATACAGAAGTAATAATTTAAAGTACCTGTCTAATGTTTCCAGATGCTGGAGAATGCGGTCCTACAACTATGGAAGTGGCTTCACCTGGCATTGGGTATGTGTCATTTTGTTGTTTCAGAATCTCGAGGCCACACCAATCTGATTTGTGGGTTCTCGTATTCGCTGCTTTATTTTAGTCTGATTTCCAAAATGCTCATATTTTGGCCCCAATGGTTAAAGAAAGCTGCTTGTTATTGTCTTCCTAGTTGTTAACATTTTTCTACAAATATGTCCATTTTTCTCAGACCGCGAAATTTCGCTAGCTACAACGAATATGAAGTGATTTACAGTACCTTATGTTCTGAATATGTTTTAGTCTGGAGTCATCAATGGCAGGATTATTAATTCATTCATTCCTTTATTCTAGGCAATGGTGGTGGTGGAGGGAATGGTGGTGTCGCAGGTAGCGCAGGAGGCGGTCCAGCGGGAGGTCAGGCCAACAATAACAACATACAGAACAACACCATGAATTACCACCATGAATTAGCACCGTTTATAAAGAGAAGTACTGTTTTAGCACATGTATAATTTCCATTGTATCCCCTTCTTAATGCAGTGGACACTTGATGGGGCCCACGCCAGGGGGACATGGAGGGGGGTGGGTGGGCGTCACCAACATACCACCAACGGTTCCCTCGCCTGGACAGACAACCTTTGAACACTTGAATGCTGTTTAATATTTGGATCAAGGAATTGGCCACCATCACAATTTCAAAGGCAGTTCAGGTCAGTCAATTTCTTTTCTTGGTTACAAACAAAAGATCTTGATGAAAATTTCTTCCGTGCAGTTGACAGCTGGAACATCCAGAGAAAACCTGGCGATGACAACAAATACGCAGGGAAGAGGGACCACAAGGGGCACATTCTCCCTACCCTTCTACACTTCTCTTTTGAGGAAATAGTTCCAGACGTTTTACACATGGTACATCTTTACTGAAATATTGTTCATGAAAGCGTTTTGAAAATTTATTTTCAATACATCAATTTGCTTTGCTCAATACTGATGATGTCCCTTATAGACATTTCAGGGCATGAGAATCAGGGGGAAGATGTTAAATCTGGTAGGAAACTTAAATTTTTCTTCAATTTTTCTTTTCTAATTTCCTTTCAAAGCTATCTACTTTAGTAGTATGGTTGGATCTTTATGGGAAGTTTACCTCATATACAGGTGGTTGTGTGGGCCATAAACCAGAGGAGAACAGAGCAGCTGCTGAGTGCCATGAAAGACATCGGTGTGCCGTTCAGGCTGATGGAGGGAGCGGGGGATGATGGGCAAGGATCCATCAAAACATGGACGCAACTTAATGGTGAGATTGATAACTTATTCCAGTATGGTTTACATGCTCTAAAAATTTCAGACCTTCTAGCCAAGGTATCAATAAGTACAGAGACATGGGCTAATACTGACTTCATTTACAGCAAAACAACTTGAGCGGGTGTTTGCCAAGCTCGACCTTAAAGCTGTGCTCATGGACAGGTGGACCCCAAGGGGGCTAACAATCGCCAGCCTGTCCGTTGCGCAGCTTAAGATCGAGCTTCGCAAACACGGATTAGAGGAGACTGGAAGGAAGCCATCCCTTGTGAGAAGGCTTGCCAATAAAATTTCCATTTGTCTTCAAATAATTTGCATGTGTATAATTGTGTCAACAACACAGCAATAATTAAACACCATCGCTAATTGACTAAAAATTTCATCTAAATCATTCATGATTAAGTAACCCTTACGTCATCATTGCCATGTGTTGAAAACCTTCCCCCATTTGCCTTTTGGGCGCGTTCGAGAAGAGGTTAAGGTCGTTCTGAAAAACAGACGGTACGAAAAACGGACCAGGAAAGCAAGGTATTGACTTTTCTTGATATAAATGTGTCATCACCTTCCTTCTGAAAGCCAACATGTCATCTTTTAATCAAACTTCAAGCACAAACAAGAGTTCGTAAATCTCAAACCTCCATAAAATAGGGTGTTAATATGCATAATTTGCATCTAATAGTGTACATGTCTGAAAAACCTTCAATTCCTTTCTTTCAAATACAGCTGTTAAACTTCTAGTGGTCCCGGGTCATGTAAATAATGCCACCCGTGAGGTACCCCGGTGTATGTTGTACGGTGGCAGATACCAGCTGCAAATTCTGCTTCAGTACCAAGGTCATCCACCAAGAGACCCATATTTGACCTTGACCTTCGTCTTCCCAAGACTTACCAACATAGCAAATATCATCATAATCCATAAAGGCGTTATGAAGTTATGCTGACTACAAATGTACGGGAAACACACACACACACGCGCGCGCCAAAAAAACAATAGCTCCATTTTCATGGAGGTAATAAAGACATCTTCAATATATCATTTCTGTAGAAAGGCACCACCAACCACAACATCGCCAGCGCTGAGGGTTACAGTAACGAGGCCAAATGGGACTCTGTTGGCCTCGGCGGAGGAGAGGTCTCGTCAGGGGGAAGCAGGTAAGTAAAACAAAATCAGCAGCAGCAAATTCGCCGTAAGGCGTAATTGGTCCCTTATATACTACATTAAGCATAGGCGTTACCTTTATACAACGTAAAACGTAAACCGTGAATTACTAGTACACCGTAAGCTGATTTCAAAATCGTCCTGATTAACGTAATTCGTAAACTGCGTCCATGATTTTGCGCCATTCGTAATCACTATGCTCCCCTTCCCCATGCCGAAGCAACATGCTGACAATTCTTTTCAAAAGTTAATGTGATACGCCAACTGATAAGAACACCTTTCTGTTTCAGTGACTTTACATGTCCAGGAACTCACTGAAGAAGGCAGACAGCATCCTGCCTTCGCACAGCTTGCTTCGGTAAATCTGAGTAAATACATCTGAAGACATTAACCGTTTATCGTTTACTTCCTCCCCTCTCTTTGCTGTGAATAAATCAACCGAGTTATTTCACGCATACATAAGTATATGTAGATACGGTAAATGATGATTAGTACAACAGTTGCATCTGTTAACAGTGTTTTAATTTGTTCCAGGTGCCAGGTGACATCACAATCGACATGAGCATCTTCCTGATAAGAATAGAGAAAGTACAGTAGAATAGTATTATAATTATAATCAATTGTTTATTGCAAATTCTTGCCCGAAGGCTAATTGCAGAAACAGAAGAGATATGGTATAAAAACAGACAATAAGTACATATAGAACTATTGATAACTACTAAGAATCTACTGTTAAAAACTACTGGGTTTCACTTTTTGAAGACAGAGGAAGACAAAGGATCCCACTTTTTCTATAATTTGTGGGTTTTCGGATGTTAAGAGGAGAGTGGTTTTCTTTTCATTTGTATATGTGTGAAAGTTTGGGTAGAATCTGGAGGCTACGTCAAAGAGTTCATTTCGGTCATTGCTATAGAGGGTACAATTTGATATAAAATGCGTTTCGTCTTCCACATATTATTGTTATATATATATATATATATATTCTAATTCAAAGTGCTAGAAATCTATACATTACAACAATACTATATACTACCTATCATCTACTGTTAGTTGCCCTTTGTTCTCTTTTTTTGAAACATTTGGAAACATAATTAATTAATACTTTACATTCGTTCTTGCATGACATCGTGTTTAAACATGTCCTGCTTTGACATTTTCTTACATATGTTGTCTAATTGTCATTTAAAAGTATGGAAGAGCTCTTGTCGTTCATCTTTATATAATGTACAGTCAAGTAGAAAGTGTATCTCGTTTTCAACAAATAATTCATTACAGAATTCGCACCTTCTATCTTTCAGAGGGGTACGGCTATGCCTGCCGGATTCTATGCGTAAGAGATTATCACTAGTGCGAAGTTTACACATGGCTATGCAATGTTTACATATGTTTCTCTGTCATAAGTATATTTGAATGATAATGATAATGATAAATAAATGAGAATAAATGTAAGAATTTTGGAAATAATGGAAAGAAATTGATGGAAATAAGTTTTCTCTTGAAATAAAGCATTTCTGAAACTGTGTATGTAGTTGTATTTCGGCATCTGAACCTTTGTGGCAGATATAGATTCTTTTCGAGTTAGTTGTGTTAGGCGCAAGAAGTCGTTCGGCGTAATGTATCCAACTGCCGCCGATTCAGGCTATACACATAAAGAAATTGGGGTTGTCCAACTGATGCGATCTATTGAGTTAATCTTAGAAAGAATCAGTAAGAGTATAATGGTGGTATAACAATTGTAAGTAATTGTATACATACATTGTAACAATTGATGTATATTACTACAAACATATTAGCATCAGGTATGTAAATAAAGCAGTACAGTGGTAAATTTGTTTCTGAAAAGATAATTTTTTATTTCAATACCACGGTCACAAAGGTTGCAGCCGTAACGGCTACATTTCTTCAGGACAATTACAATTCGGATAGAGACATGATGAAGACATATTTACATATGTAGTATGAGTACTGAAGGATTACTAAAAATATTTGTATCTATTACTACGACAAGTTAAAAAGCACAACAATTTCAGGCTAATTATAAACAGGTGATATAAATGGTCAAGGTCACTATAATATCTCTCTTAAGTTGTTAAGGAGTCCAAGTTGCATGTATGACTGGGCACTGTTCATGTAACGTCCCGTACGGCCTTACCGGGGTTCAGTTTTTTGATGATCGAGTGTGACCGGGCCGCTGTTGCCTTCCTCTGGTGGGTGGTAGAATGTGCTGAATCTGTCGAGAACGTTTTAATCATTTAGGTCATCAGGATGTACCACACTATGACCTCTCTGGAAGACGTTGACCCAAATACGACAATACACGACTGTTAAACGACCGCGGCAGTATTTAGGTAAAAAAAAACTTTCACATATTTCAAATACATGAAACCCCTCTATATTAATCACAAGCATACAACCCTGAAAGCGATACAAATATGCTACGTGTACTAGTCGTTTGTCAGTCCTCCATAACTTCAATAATAGGTAAAAAGACGCCGCTGTCATCGTTACCGACTTAGCTCAGTTGGTAAGCGCGCTGCACTGCCAACCATTGCTAGCGAGCTGGGCGCGAGTTCGATCCTTGCTCGGGTCATGTTATGATATGTTATGTATTGTGTTATTGTGTTATGCATGTGTTGATGTTACTAACACTGTTCTTGTTTGTTGTATTGCGTCTGTCATGATGTTTATATGTATTTCGTCTTCATGTATTATGTATGTCATGATGTTTAAGTGAATAACTCCGTCATCTGTATCGTTCTGTTATGTATGTTAATTGTATGTTACGTTTTGCGCTATGTTTTGTCATATCTGTTATTAAGTTATATGCGGTTTGTTGAAACTAAAGGTAGTAGTCATTGTTGGAAATGTCAACGTTACTCTCTTTATTTTAGTATGTTAAAATTTAACGAAGTCTGAAGGAGAATGTGTTTACTTGACATTTTCTTAAAGTCTGTTTCTTTTAGTCAGTATCATATAAA